GTGTCAAATAAATTTAAATTAAATAATAACTAAATCACTGACATATAGAAGCATGTCAAATCATATAAAGAAAAACTATAATCATGTAGATAAGTAAATTAATCAACATGTATTAAACATTCTTATTTTTCTTTTATTATGATTACACAGAACAAGTTTTAATATATTATAGTGAAGATTATTATTGCGTTGATAAAAAAAAAATAAAATAATAAATAAAATTTTGATATATTATTCTGTTATGATAACCTTCAGACCAACAGGACAAAAAAAAGGCGAAGTCTGTCATCATTAATCTTAAGATAATTAGTTTCGTCTTTGCTCTAATTTATCAACTGTTTTTCTATCAATATTCTAAAATAATAGAATGCTTATTCGAACGTTTATTTGTATTCTTGATGTGTTTATTATTAATCGATTCTTACAAAACAAACCAAAACAAAAAAAAAACCGATTACTTAGCTTGTCAAAAACAGTCATCGTTAAGATTATCACGGAGACATGAGTATAACTAATCTCTAACAATGAATTATTTCTAAAAATAAAACTAATATTGTAAATTGTTGACAAAGATCATGATGAATATTGAATAATATATAAAATATTTCTTTTTAATTTATAAATATATTTGAAAAAAAAATTGACTAATAATACAATCATTGACATAATGATAGATTTCATTAATATTACACAAGATCTATTTAGGCTAATAATCAATTGTTTTTTCTCCTCGCCTTATTAATTCGAAGAAAAATAACCTAAATCTAACTCTTTCATATGTTTATTTATATCTACTGTATTAGATAATTTCTTTTTTAATCATTAAAAATAACCATCACATACCACAAGAAGCATGTTCGCGTGTTATGCTATTTCTCGAAACTATTTGTTCGATAAAAAAAATAAATTTCCGTTGACGATGATGCACCTATCAGATGGATAGAAAATCGAATTTAAGACACAAAATATTTCACATAATTTCTTTTGGAAAAATATATTATATTCGCATAACTAACATAAAATAGAAGAAAAAAGAAGTTTTTTCACCTAAATGTTATATATAAAAAAATACGAAGATTATCATTTGATACGTTCTCTGATTTGAGGGTGTCGTAGATGAATTTCTTGTTGTTGTTGTCGTTGTAGAACTGCTTGATAAATATAATCTTTTCCATTTTGTACAGTTGAATGACGGCGATTATTATGTTTACTACATCGACGTAGAATTATTTTATGTAAATTTCGTCTATGACGTTTAGCAATACGTTTTAATTCTGTACGAAATCGTTTTCCACTTAGACAATAAACATAAAAATTTAATGAACAATTAGCTAATATAATAACACTCATTAAATAAGCTAATCTCATATCTGATGTTGAAAAATAAACTAATGATGTTAAACTTGATGATAAAAAAAATAATAATGAATGTAATATTAAAACAACATTCATCCAAGACATTTTACCAAATGGTACATTTGCTGTTGGTATTGTTGAATTTCGAAATGAACGACATTTTATTGAACCTAATCGTTGTTGACTTGCATCATATATATGTAATGGTGTTAATTTTGATGTTAGACCAGTTATTGACATTGATAATTGATTATTATGATGATATTCTTGTCGTTTTCGTACGTGTGATGTTGTTCGAAAAATACATATAATTATACCAATATTAAATAATGCAACAAAAATCGATGGAATAAATTCTGATAATAAAAAACGTATTGTATAATAATTTAAACCAAATGATAAATCACTAAAATAATATTGCCATTTTGATGAATTATAAGGAATATTATATGTACATTGTATAGATGAATGTGTTTCATTAAAACTATTTATAAAAAAAAAAGAGAAATAATAATTTCATTATATAAAGAAAACAAAAAAAGTTTCAAATTAATTTATTACCTAGCTAATTGTGGTGTAAAAAAGAAAACAGTTGGTCCTGTAACAATCATAATCATAATTAATGATATACATATCATAGAAAAATATTTATATTTTTTAAATGTTTGACATTTTACACGACGATTACATAATAAATTTAAACGTGATGAAACATAAATAAATCTTTCAATAACCCAAAAAACTGTTATCCATGCAGCTAGAACACGAAATGATGATGATAAACGATAAATTTTACATGTTAACCAATGTACACTAACAATACTATTTGATAACCAACGTCTTGTTGTTGACTGTATTATTAATGTATAACGTACAATACATATTAAATTGATTGTAAATGATGTTAATGCTAATGTTGCATATGTTGGACAACAACGAAAACGACGTGATGAAAAAACTATTAAACCAAGAATATTACCAATAAAACCCAAAATAAATAATATAATACAAATCCAATCGGTCACAACTGCAATAAGTACCATGATAAAATCTATTTGCTAAGCAATACTAAAAGATATGAAATGACAGTAACAAAAAAGCAAAAAAAAAAAGAAGAACAACAGGAAAAAGCAGAGGAAAGAAAGAAATGACATATCTATTTTTGTGTTCTTGAATCTTTTCTTGCATGAATAAGAAAGATAATATTCAGCTTATGGATAGTCGATTTTTTCAGAAATAAATTTTATATTACCTCATGCAATCTAAAAATACTATTTCAATATATTTTTAAAACATTTTAATAAACTTCATATATATAAATTAGATTTTAAATTATTACGCATGAAAAGTTTTAGGATCGAAAATTCTTTCTTATTTGTTATTTCTTATATATTTTAAAAGAAAATATATGCGTACTTTCAAATCATTTTAGGTCTTAATGAATATGAATATTGTTTCCGAAATTTGTCACTGTATGCGTGAACGTCAGAATTGATCAAGTTACAAATGACATGGGGTGGATCAAGTCAAGAAAACAGCTAATATTTAAATATTCATGTCAGCCTGAACCTTTTCCATGTATGTGAATGCGTGCGTAAAAGAAATCGTCTATAATACATGTAAGTACCAGTAATTTGCTCGGGTATAAATAGTCGTCTATAAAGGTCTTATTTTTTCTTTTTTTTTCATTGACAAATACAATAGTTGGTGTCGGAAGTTATAAAGACAAAAGAGAAACAACTCGAAGTTTAATGAGAATTTCTCTTTCATATCGATAGTGTGATATAAATTCTATTCATATGGTTCCTATCGTTTGTCATGAGCAGTTTATAATTAGTACTTTTGTTTCTCAAATAAATCATGAAAAAATCATTTAATTTTGTAAAATATCAAGTTTTTTTTATTCTTTACTAGATTTAATAATAGTCTCAGTAAGAGATTTTTTTTCCATAAGAAATAGGATCAGTTATACGGATTAAAGTTTTTACAAGTAGACAAGAAAATCTTGAATGAAAAGTACTTCATGTCATAGTGTAGAAGAAATATGAAGAAAACTAATGTACTCAAAGCGCATTTAAAGATTTGAAATAGAAAGAAGTTTAATAAAACTTTTGAAAAATTTATATTCAATAACTTAATAAATCTACCAATCATTTATATATTGTTTGAAATAAACAAGAACACATCTAGGCTTTTTTTTTTGTTTCCTTTAAACTCATAATTTTGGATCATGTCTTATTTAATTTATGTCAATTATTCGGATAGACATAAATCTCTACCATATATCTGCCAATCATTTAATTGAATTTATTCTGTTGATGTTCATGATAAAACTCATAGTTACTCGAAAAAACAAAAAATCCCATTTAAAATAATGAATAAAATTACTTAGTACTTTTTTTTTTCTAATGGTATTTAAGTTCATATTATTCTTTTGAATTTAAGAATGTTTCTACTATATCTTTTTTGTTAGTAATTTCTAATGATTATTTTATTTTATATATCAATCATTAATTAAACATAATTAATTGTAATAATAGTTGATTATATTATTAGAAATCTAATGAAAATAATTTTTTATTTGATTTAAAACAATAGATAATGATAGTAAAAGATTAGTCTTATTCAAATAAATAAGGTAAAATGATTTGTTATTAACTCCAAATCATATTGATTATACTTATGTAAATATTTACATAGAAAGGTTAATTGGTAAAATTTTTATCAATTATAAAACAAATTATATTATGAGTTTATATGATTAATGAAAATAGCAATGAATCATATAATGATAAAATTTACGTAAATCATCTTTGTTTTTTCTTTTTCTAATAGAAAATATTTATGAGTTTACACAGTTATTGAATTATTAAAAAAGCAAAATCTTGTTTTCGGATTTAATTTGTTTTTTAAGATGACAATAGAAATAACTATTCGTCTGTATATTTAATTGACAATGCTTATATTGATGATGTCTCCCTAAGGGATAAAACTATCGAATGAATATGATCATAAATAGATTGACTTTTTTTTTTTATTCTATATTTAGAAATTATTTATGAAACCTTGGAAAATTTTTAATTAAAAATAAAGGTTTCTGTTATGATTTGAAACCTTAAAATAAAATATTTTAAATAAGAAGAAAAAAATAATAATTTTTATTTTTAGAAATAAGCACTTTTATTTTCTTCATTTTACAATGGCAAAATCTATTTGAAGAAAAAAAGAAAATTACTAAAAATACGTTCATATAATTACAACAAAAAAACGAAGAATCTCATTTTCGAATATTGAATAATCTTAAATCAGATTTTATTGATTTCTTTTGATCAAGCTTTATAGAAAAGATATTTTTATTATAAGAATTTTTTTTTTTACAACATTCTTATTATACTACATCAAACAGGAAATGCAGATGCTATTGACAGATGCCATAATGTCAAAGCTGTTGATGGTAGTACTTGTATATAATTATGATCGATCTATTCTTAGATCCATTATATTATTACGGCTACAGCATTTGAATCAATGTCATGCGTTTAATAAAAATAGAAAGACTAACCATATAATATAATTATGTCCGATGAATATAATAAAACCGTAAGAAAAGATATTGACACAATGTTTTAGCAAAAATGATTTTCTATTTTTATCATAAAATATATGCTTTTGTTTATTATAGAAGTCATTTGAAAAATCTTTATTCTTTTCTTTGTGTAGGTGTGTTGTTTTTTTTTGAACTCTATCTTAAATATGAATATTGAAATTGTATATTTAACAAAAAGATACTAAGACGGATACTATGTGACTTCAATTCTTATTGTTTCTTTTTTTAAATTTATAAATCATCGCATGTACTTTGAACTATAGATCTAAAGTGCATGTCACAATTAAAGTTATATCGAAAGGGAACACAATTTTCATTCATTTTTCTAAACGTTTTGCGGAGATAATGGACTTGTAAAATTATTTTGTCTTATATAGTATCAGGAAAAAAAGACACCCGGAGTTCTCTTCCTTTGTTTGATGAAAACCGCATGCCGCTAGCTATTGCCACTGGCGAGTTATTGAGTTCACATCCATTCTCCTTTAATTCAGATGCGGATATTAGTTCTTATGTTATTATTTTTGTAAGCGTTGATATTAAAGTGTCAGCGTCATAGTTTCAAGCTCTGCAATGAGCATATATCGGGTGTGAGTATGGACTATGAGACATGAGAGAAAACAATGCATAAGAGATTTCTTTTGGAGCACAGACTAAGACCAAGTCCGAGCTAATCGGAAGCTCGATATATTCCTACTCATGAAGTCAGTCTATCCTTCCTAATTTACTTTATAGCGTTGAAAAAGTAAGACAAAGTCATGAACTTTAAGACCATTGAATTTATCACATGCAAATGTCTTTTGTTTAACATCATTTCAAAATCTTATCTTTTCAGCATGATGTAAAAAGATCAAAAGATTACAAAAGTAATTATAGAAAGATTGAAGCTTTTCCTTTCAATCAAAAAATAAGGATAAGAATAAGAAATACTTGTGAAATTTGTTTACATCTACTATTTCTATAATAACCAAATGGTATGTTTATATGGCTTTGAAATTCTTAATCGACACATAAAATTTATTATTTAATGAAACAAGAATATATATTTCAAGGTGAAAACTTACAAAAATGTACTCATGTCGCACGTTTATTTGCAGTATCAGTGGTAGTGCTTACGGCTTTCGGTTCCAACTATAAACGATTGTAGAAAGTATTTACTATTCAAATTCGAATTTATCGAGAAAAAAAATCAGTTTCAGAATATATTATACTAATAAAAATTTGTGCAGCGCTATCTATAATAAAAACAAATATCTGGAAACTGAGGTCGATTTTTGCTCTGTGGCTAGTACAGGTGGCTCAGACGCATCAACACTAATGGGCTACGTCAAAATCGACTCAATGTTGTCAATAGTTCCGAAGTGTAATCAAAGTTACCAAACCCCTTGATTTGCCTTAGGAGAATCCTGGTTTTTGATCCATTATCCTAGTAAAATAAAAAGCTGCGAATATCAAGAGTTGTTCTCCAAAATATTCTACTGGTTTTTGTTTTTTCTTCATTTCTACCAGTAGAATAAAATACATTCGATTATAGGAAAGAAAATTCCCAGAAGAATAAATCATGAGCGTTCTTCGATTACTATTCTAGTATAGTACATAAAGCATTAGGAAATATGATATCATTCGCGTTCACTCGATTTTATTATGGTTGCAGTGTGTGTTCCGATCAAGAAATCAACGTTTTTCTTGTAAAAGTCGTTCTGAATTCGAAGTAAGAAACAATTAAAAAAAAACATGAAATCGCTCATTTCTGTAGTTTTCAGTGTTCTTCTGACCAATCTTGTTTTAACTTTTCTGATGGTTGAAACTATGGATCCAGCATTGCATTCCGATCGAAATAAAGAGATATTCAGATATACATTTGATTGCGTCTCTCTTTTCTTTATTTCACATGTAAGATAATTGTTCTCATTATTCACTTGATAAAGACAAGTCACAAAAGTTTGCAACAATAAACATTTTGCTTCTCTAAGGGAGAACTATTTGATATTTTCTTTTTTTTTAGTGAAATTTAAAAAGGTCTTCGTGTTTTTCCACCGGATTTTGCGGGAAAAAAAATCTCCTGATTAAATCTTGACTTTTGATGAAAAAAAAACTAGACACAGTTTTAGCTTACAGAATTGCTCCAGCAAACTCTGGAAGATATTAACATATAATAAGATGATTAATAAAATAGTATAAGTGACACATTGCTGACTATTTTTCTGAGATTAATATGATTAAATTAGCAAAGAAAAAAGTCTTGAACGATACATGTACATTAGTTCTACTGAGAAAATGCTGTTTTATGAATAAAATTTCTCGAAAACCTCAATTTTCAGCTTTTTCCTCTTGAAATTTGATCTATGCCGGAAATAAACGCAATCAGAGGCGATCTCTTTTTCATACGATGTTTAGCCAATTTTATTCTTCAATATAATATTAGCATGAGATATTGTA